TTTACTCTGTTTCCCTCCATGTCCACTTTCATTTCCAAACTTCCATTCATCCACCTCTTTTTTTATATTTTGTCCTTCCCAAGACTGCATTTCCGTTTTCTTACCACTCACTCTGCTACAGCTCTCAGCATTGAGGTCTTCACCCTCAAGCCACTTAGGCTATAGGAAGGTGAACATTTGGAGCACAAGATAAAAGTTTCCCTGCTGACATTTTTTGGGCACCCAGCAGCCTGTGGTTATCAGCAGAAGCAATCACAGGGAGAGTACTGCTTGTCCCAGGCACGCTAACTCGAGGAGATTCAATTGTTCTCAGGGAACGGTACTCATAGACTTGTATTAACATGTATGCATTGTAGCAGGCATGAAAAATTATCACAAAAATTGATTCAAAGCTTAATGGAAAAGTAGTTACTCATAACTAAGAGGTTTTTCTGCAGATAGAATTAAAGCTGAAACCCTAACCCTAATTTCAAGAATTCTTTTCAAAGCAAGGAGTTTGATAGTGAAAAGACTGTATGATATACTTGTTCTACTTTGTGTAATTTTTCTATAACTTTATTTCTGAAGTAGCTGGAACACACCTTGAGGTAGATGTTCTGACACTTGGCAAACTGGCAAGTCATTGGAAGACTGCCCTTAAAAATGCAATGTATCAGACTACCTTCGTTATAGACAACATAGGTTTATTTCTTTAAAACAGCAAAATCAATCAGATGAAAAATCGTACAGAAAAGGCATGGCTTGTATAATAATAATGTAAATTCTTTCAAATATATTTCAATTATGTCCTGAACATGAACAATTGCTTTTGGATTGGTCTTTTTTATGCAGTGTTGCTCTCTTACTTTGCAACCCACAGATGCTCAAAAAAGATGACTTGGGCCCTAGAAAATCATTGGATGGACTTACACATATTATACATGATCTTTGGAAATTAAATGTGGGATGTTCACTTAATCATGCTGGTTTTGTTTTGAGCCTTCAGAGTCTCCCTGGGTTTCATTTCAAAGTTCTATCAGTAAGTAGAAGTCTAAAATAACACTCCTCTATTCAGGACATGGAATCAAAAAGTACCTTATTAGAGGAAGCCAGGCCACAAATGCTACTATAAGATGAGATTTGGCTGTAGCAAGGGCAGAGTAAAATGAAATTTGTTATCACAGGGAGAACAATACACTATGATAAAATGTTAAATAGTGTGTCAAAAAGAAAAAAGGAAATATATGACTAAAATGATATAAATAATCTATAAAACTTTCAAAATACCATAACGATCTGTTCTATCTTACAGGAACCCGATTAGCTCCAAAAGAAAAACTGGACATCCCAGTGTTATTCATGCCAGATACAATGAAAATGTATGAGGCTGTGGTGGTAATTCATGTAATGAGGGAAAATGGTGAAAACTGGCCTTATGAGGATTCTGCTGCGTTAAATAAAGGCTTAAAGAGGTAATCTATTCTAACAGGAAAAGAAAAAGTAATTGAGGATACTCAAGTCATCATTTTCCCCTTCAGATATTTGTGTGTAGCTCCCATGGGCAATCAAGTGTCTGATTTTGAGGGCAATAAGTATCCAACATAAGCTTTTAATGTACCCTGCAAAGTATGCAGATTTAGGGTAGGACTTTTATCTGTTTCAATACCTATCTTTTCTAACTTTAAATAAAGAAAATGTAAAGTACTAGCTGCCAGTGCAGTTATGGATATTGAGCAAATGAAAGCTCTTAGATGGCTCTAATTTTTCAGTATATTTGGGCTAATAATGATTCTCCTGTGGGTATGTTTATGTAATGCATAAAGTGCATAAACTTTGTTTCAGAGTAGACATGACATAAGAGAGACCAGATAAGGCCAAATGTTCTCATACCCTGACAGAATAATATTTGAAGACACTAAACTAAGTGGATGTAAATGATTGCTGTTCTGATTTGGTTGGATTTTATTTCATATTTTTCTTAGATATGTTTAGCATTACAGCATACAATAAAATAGAGTCTCACTTCTTCAACAACTCGTAAGCCTAGATAACTTTGGAAACAAAAATTCTCAGCAGTTTATCACAAGGATACTCTTTACTTATTTTCCAAGCAGTGTTACTGTAGCAGAGAATGGGGGAATTCAGGGAATACTCTGGATCTATCCGGTTCATGGAATACCTGAAGCACCGCAGCAGAAATTAGTTCCAGGTAGGTAATGATTGAAAAAAATGTGAACAACAGATTTAAGAAAATTAGTCATTTGTGTTTTCACCTGCTTGATCACGAGAATTTGCAGTCGTACTTTGCTACATCTTAAAAAAAAGATAAAATCACATATTAAAAATAAAATCTCCTTTCCCAACTACAAAGCAAATCTAGATCTATTATTTTGTTCTCATTGTGGAAAAAAGGAGCCAGGAGCAGGTGAAAATCTCAAGGCTTGTGCCCTTCAGTGTCCCAGTTAATGCTGAGTTAGGGAACTGAAGGTAAATCAGACGAAAGACTGACACAAGGGTAGATTTCTGCTTGCGCACCCAGAACACTCTTCTGGAGAGTTTACAGGGTACAAAATATTGGAGTAGATGGCCGCTGTTTTTCTCAGCCTTGAATTTCACTCCTTAATCTAAAACAGAATATAGAGTAGGGTGAATAGCAGTAAATTTTCCACTTGCTCCTAAGAAGTAAACTTGCATTAAAAGATGACCGCCATTCATAGGGTTTTTGTTGTTGCTTATTTTGGGGATAGTAAGTGTTTATAGATTTGACGCACCTATTTTTTAAAGGTTTGATATAATCTCAGAATTGTGAAACAGAAATTGTGAACAGGTTTTTAAATCTATAACCTTGATGAAACTATAGCTCAAGGTGTAGTTGAGGGACAATTTTATACCAACTTGTCTTTTCATTTTGTCTTTTGATCAGTGAATATAATACCTTTCTACACTAAATAGACTAAGGTACAGGAATAACTTCTGGAAAACTATAGAAATAGATATTTTTACTGTCATTAATTTAATTTGCTTAAGGACCCTTTACTTACAGACAAATACCAATGATGTGGTATTAATTAGAGCTTTCATCTCCTTAATTTCCACTTTAATACCTTAAGGAATGAGGCAGAATATTATCATGCAATCAGCTGTTGCCCAAAATGATGTTTTTAATGAGTCTCATTAGCATTAAAACTATGTATATTGATGTGAATGTTTGTTGTGTTATTTAAAGCTTGTATGTAATTCACTGGCAGACTTTGAGATACATCTCCCTTTTATTGGGTTGTTGTCTTCATTAGGTATAGAAGTTATGAATTAAAACTGTTAGCATTCATAAGTTGCTTAAGTGACATCACTTCTGTATATGATCAGAAACTTAAGTAATATCAAATCTTACTTAATTTTAAATTCCTAAATGCTTCTTTAAAACAGCAAAACTAAACTGCAGAATATTTATAACTAAGTGTGTTCTCCACGAGTTTATGTTCAGTAAAAGTTTGCAATACATACAAGGAGCACTGCATTATGTTTGAATACATATCTCTTTGGCCATCACCATGTTATGTTGGGCTAATTTTTTTTTCTAAGGAAGTACTAGATCTTTCATTGAAAAATGACCTGGAAAATTAAAATACCTGTTTGTAAATGTATTTATGAAACAGATTCCATTCCTGCCTTGATTCTGAAAGTCTACGGTTTTCAGTTCTAAATGGAATTTTTAAAAATCCCTGTTGTAAGATATGAATCCAAAGCAGGTATTTTACAAGAAACTGACTTAGTCTTTAAATCATTGGTTTTAATAATGATCGAAATAGTATTGTCATTTCTTTTAATGCAGACATTTATTAAAATTGCCTGGAGGCTACAAGCTGTTATGTCAAAAACCAAAGCTGCTTTGCTAGTATATTAGGCAGTTCATCTTTTGTGTCATTCTTATTTGCATCTTAATGTACTTAAACTTCTAGAAGTCACTTGGCTTAGTATCTCATGAGACCAGTTAAAATGATCAGTGGTCACAAGCCATGTAGTACATGTTAAGTAGATTACAACTTGGCTATCTTATAAAAGTGATTACAAATGGAGAATCATCCAGAATATTTTTTTAATTCTTGTAGAGTCAAAGCAGCCTACAATAATTTAGATTGGAAGGGACCTCTGAGGTCATCTAATCCAACCCCCTGCTCAAAGCCAAGTCTAATTAGATCGGGTTGCTCAGGGACTTGCCCAGTCAAATCCCACAGGGATCTGATTTTTATCCATAAATATTACTTAGCAATTTAGGAAAAAGAAAATGTAGAATAATTTCTGGTAGTAAGATGAGCTGCAGAATAGAAAATGATGCGGACACAACATGTGCACACAGTAATCTGAAATACTTGGTAAGCTGGTGTAGTACAGACAACGTAATTTATTCTTAAATATAAGGCCGTGCATCTTGAAAAAAAGATGTGTTTTTAACTATTTCAGTAACTCTACCTCATGGAAATGCTTAGAAGAGAGCTATAGAGATTACTGAAACCCTGTTAAACAGGAAAAGACCAAGAAAAAGAAAAGGTTGGGTTTTTTTTTTAAAGAAAGGAAATGACTTGAACTTGATGTGCAGTTATCTATTTGTTTTCCAAAATAATGATAGTGAATCAAGCTCCAGAACTGAAAGTTGAAGCTAAATAAACATGGTATAGAAGTAAGGGTTTCATTGCTCTTTTTTAAAACACTTTACATAATTACTTCCCAAGATATGGTTCTAAATTATTTATCATTAAATCTTGATGTTAAGCTCAGAGTAACTTTTTAAAAAATCATTGGGTATAATTCTGATGGAAATAATACTTAGACCTTGAAACTGAGAAGTATGTAATCAGCTGTTCTTTTTCTTGTTGATTTCCATAACTCTAGAAAATTCTAAGTCTTTTCTTTGGGAAAACTTATTTTTCTTCAGTTCTTGCATCTAATTTTCTCCTCTTTCTGTGCCAATAATTACTGAAAGAAGCATAAACAATAACTATTGAAGTAAGCTTTATAAAATGTAATGTATAAGCTAAAACCCAACTACCTTGTAATGAAAAAAGACATATTTTAGAAGCAGTAAATTAAAATCACTTACTGAATTGAAAAAAGCTCTGTCATGCTTCAGAGAGAAAGTCGTATCAGAATTCTTTTTATTCTGGCATAGTTCTGTAAAAGCTGAAGTTTGAACAACAATGTTCTTAAATTAAGAAATCAAAGAGTAACTTAATATTCTTTCATTTAACTTTGAAATTCTTTCATTTCTTTGTTTTCCTTTGAGTCTTCCTTTCTCATTGGATTATGTCAAACTATACCATAATTTCTCTTTGGAAATGAACTGAAATGAAGATACATTTCATGATTACAAAAAAGGGAGAAATTTGCAAGTGCTGTTGCGAACTAACTGTAGGAACAGATTTTCGTTTGTTTAGCAGTATTTTCTATTACTTCACCTAAACTGAACAATAGAAACAGTGGAATGGGAAAAAGCTTTTAGATGTCTTGGTCCTTATTGGAATTCTGTCACTCTCTAAGCACATTTAACTTCTATGTTTAATTGTTTTGTTAAAATCAAGATGCTGATGCTTTACAAATACGGGTTTTTGCTTTTTTGTAGCTGTGGTACGCTGTCGAGCTAGGCAGAGAGTAGAAAGAAGAGTAGAAGTGCTGCTGACTGGTGTAGTTCCTGGTGCAAATGCTATGCCTGCCACAAGAAATTCTGCCATGGTCAATACAAATAAGCCAGCCAACATCCAAGAAGAAGTTCAAGTCACTGATGGTAAGAATAAATAGCTTGGATATCATGCTATTTTAGGAACATTGCAAATAAGGTACATGCTTCACCAAATGTAGCTCTGCCATGACAACAGATGAGGTTTAGACAAATCCTTCTCTTGGTCCGTATTTCTACCCTGTTGCAAATATGGGACATTCGTATAAAAGTATGTCTGCTGTTACAGGCACCTTTGAACCTGAACCTTTCTTTTTTCTACCTGTCTTGGATGTGAGGCTTGCACACATACCATCTCTCCTTTAAAAGAGAATAGCCTCCACAAAGTCTAAAGTTAGCAAAAATATGTCTGTGTAAGCATTGCAAGGAAATATTTATCTGCAGGTTGTCTCTATTTGTAAGATGCATTCCCACCAGCAGGCCAATATCTGCAGCAAAAAAGATTGAAGAAGGAGGCCTAGTTTGAAAGAAGCAATAAAGCTTTGTAAAAAGATAGCTTCCACTTACTGTTAATCAGCAGAGGACACAGTGAAAATCAATTTCTTCAGAGATACACCAGCTTTTCATATTATACCTCTCTTTGAAACAGAACGGTACGACGTCTAAGTAGTAAGAAAAGAATGCTTGTTACTGCTGTATGCCTGGTATTTCTGTTAATAGATGTGTGTAGTCATACTCACTACAACAAATTATGCATCCTTACATTTTACCTTCATCAATTATTGCACCTTTGAGACTTAATCTACATTTCTTTTTGGGTTCAAAGTCATCCTACTTTTTAAGAAAAATGTTATTTAAAAATTAGGACACATGTCATGAAACATCCTAATGTGTGTTTACCATAGCTGTAAATGAGGGGAAGGGATTTCACCCATGCTCCAACTTTGTCAAGAGTGTAGTGCATTGTATGGTGGTAAAAGATGAGTCTACACAAGTTGCTATGATTGCAGTCTATCAGGCAATCAGTTTGAAAGGCAGGCAGACTTGGCTTTTGTGTCTCATATATGCCATTTAGAATCTGGTCCAGTAGAGGCTTTGCAGAAATACCGTGTTACAGAAACCTTCCTGCCAAAGAACCGTGAAAAACTGAAAAGCTGTAAAATGTAAATCAAGATGCATTACATCCTTCCTATAAGGATGATTTTCATGCAAATATGCCCCCGCCCTGCACACTGACCAATGTAGTCTCATATTGGCAATCACTGTCCAGATCTTTAAACAGATTTTATTTTTGAATGCTTTTAAAACAGGAGGGCATCTGAAGTTGAACTGTTAACAAGAGCTTGCACAGCATATACTTACTGATTAGTTAATATTTATAATTACTTAGTTAAACTTTATATTTGCTCATATTGCGGTGACAAAAATAACTTATTATCTGGGCATATTATTATCTTACATTCCCATATTACGAAGTGATAGTGATCAATCTAGTAAAATGAAAAGATGTGAAGTTCTCAACCTACATTCTTGCCTTCTTGGAGGACTGTAAATACTATTATATAACTTCTCTCAGCCTTGTGAGAACAGCTGTATATCAAAATATGTTACCTTTTTTTTTACTATAGAGTAGCAGGCTTAGCTCTTTCTTGACTTGTCACATATGAGTAGGCTACCTTAAAAATACCTGGGCTATTTCCCTCCAACATGGTGGCATCTGAATTGACAAGAATAACATGCATTGAGCAAGTAGAGGCAGCATTTTGAAAGACTTGCAGATTCATGATGTGTAGTGCTTGTTTTATTCATAGGAATAATATTTCATTTCATATTTATTAACACTGGTTTCTGCACATACTGCAAGACATTGATTTGGGACATTGCATCTTTTCAAGCAAGAAGTCTGGTAATGAAATGCTTTACACCATAGGTAGGAAGATCATTTATAACTCTGGTGCTTTTCATCGTTTTCAATGACGTTATAATGTCATTATTGCTAGATGAATTTGAAGCCTGTTAGGAATCAAATTTAATCGTACTATCTCAGCTTTCTGCAGTCTACCAGTAATAACGTAAATAAAAGCATAAACCTCTAAGATAACAGCCTGGCAAGCTGTTTTTAATTTTTTCTCTTCTGAAAGAGTGATTCATCAGAGTGTATGTGTGATGTGTAGTAAGCAGTTTTTATATCCGAAGATAAATGATTATAATTAGTGGCAGATCAGATTTAAACAGCTACTACTGTTTAAATGCTTCGCTATTTAAATTATTTGGACAAGTATAAATTCTTGGGAAGTGAAAAATCTTCAAGCATGTCTTTTATGTTAAAAGATTCAATTTCATCCAATCCAGAAGATATCATTTGAAACAGAAGACTATTGTAATTTCTTAAGAAAGAGGGGACAATCTAAATACTGTCTAGCTAAAATGACATAGTTTTTTATTCAGAAATCAACAAAGTTCCAGAGATCAGATAATTAAAGCTTAATGTTTTAGACATAGCAATTATGATATTGTCCTCTTTAAAAATAATTTTCAGTTGTATTAAATGCATATTTTTACCCTATATGTACTTTTCATCTGTTTTCTTACATATGGCTCTAAAGAAATTTTTTTCAGTAAACAAAATTTAAGATCCAAGATTCATCCAAACAGGTGTGAAGATTGTTATTGCTTTTTTAGTTTACTTTAAATATTCAATGGGAAATACAAACATGTTTAATTTTCCCTGATCTTCTATGAAAAACTTCAAACATTCACAAATTGTCAGTTACCGATATTTGACTGAAATTCACAAATTTCTAAGCAACCAAACTTGACTGTGTTGAGAGCATGTTGAGTACACAGCCAGAGTATCTTCTGGTTGAGGAAATACACGAATCAGTCCTCTTGTGTCTCTGTGTTTATAATGATCCTTTGTAACCTATGCTTTTCTATTGCTTCAGTTTATCACATAAACCAATTATAAGGGCTGAATGTTTATAATTAACTTCCCTAGTCTTGATTAATTCATAGCTCTTCTCACAGCCTGAAGGCTGGTCTTAGTACCTTGCTCCTGAGTTCTTATTTCTGGGAAAGTTTCATGACAGTTACCTTTTGAGGGGAATAGTGCTGTCCAGGTTCTGTAGGGTAGCACAGGTATGAGGTTTTTTTATGTTATGTGCAAGTTTCACAGCTATGCTGACTTCTGACTAAACAGATGGACAGTTCAATTGCACCTAGTGGTTAAATAACATTTTCCAGATACGCTAATCCATAATATACATTGGCATACGTTATTGCACATGGGCATACATTATACAAAGTGTGTCTGTACCCTTTGTTTCACCATTTACAAAAACAGCAAATATATGTATATTCTATACAATTGTATAGCAATTATCCAACATTCAAAAATTCCTGACACTCATCAGAATATACAGAAAGCCTCTATTTTCTTTAATTTCATTAAAGCAGCTCTTTGAAACAGAGGAAGAAGAACAACATGTCCAAACACATCTTAAAAGCTGTTCCTGTCCCCAGCAAGATGTTATGTTAGCCAGTGGTATGGATTCCACCAAATGACAATTTGATGTGACGGATCTGGATGGGGAAGCTCACCTTTAAGAAATGAGTTCAATAAAATTGGGTATGACCAAAGAAATCTTATCAGCATAAGAAAGAAAAATGCCAGTATAGGTGAAGACAAAATTTTCTTATAGACTTATCTCTCATCCAAAGATTTTAATTTAATTGCTGATAAAGTGTAGCAGGTTAATATTGAAAGCAATATGAAGCGGATCATAATGATGAAGATGGCCCTATATCTTACTTAAGCCATCGCTCTATTGTCAGAATAATTGTGGCATTATTTTTGAAATGGTATTTGAGGATGAGAGAATTGTAGCTATATAAATGAGATTGTTAAGTGATTTTTTTACTCTGCGAGAAGTAGAAGAAAGAACAACAAAGTGTTTGTTTTGGATTAACGGTTGGTGAAAGCTGTGAGCAATGGCAACATGAAAGTGTTGACAAGGGGGTGAACCCCCAATTGGGTCACTCTGTTATGGATTATTACCTTGTTGTTAAAGGTGCCAACTCCTGCTGGAAAACAGGGAACTAGTAGAAGTCATAGAATAGGGCAACAGCGTAGAAATGAAAGCCTAGATGGATTATTTTGTCAGCTACATAATTTTTGTTAACATCTGGCTGTTTGTTTCTTTATTTTTGAGTGAACCATGGGAGAGATTTGATGCATTGTTTATTTTCTTTATTGAACTGCAATATGCACAAGCATTTTAATGAAGAACTTCAAATAGGACTTTATTTACCTGATGTTGATATACAAGGTTACCACTTGGTCCATTAAAAAAAGAAACAATTTAGCATAATTTTTTCTCTCACAAGTAACCCCTCCTACTCCCATTTCTTAATATAACTAGAACAATAATGACAAATACTGAAAAAAGAGCTTGTGAGTTGTGAGCAAACATAGTTTGTAACTGCTTCTGTTTCTGTTTACAGAACAGTCACTCATTTCTGTTTCTTTGCCATTTTATAAAATGTTGAAATCTGCAAGCCTTAAGAATGAGACTCATCATTGTGTAAATTAGAATTATTTTCTAACACCTATGCAAAATCATGCTCAGTTAAAATGTTCAACACTTACAAGGAACCAGATCAATTATAAACTAATCTGAAGTTATTTACTCAGCTTCACAAATGTGCAAAAAAGAATAACTAATGCAAAACCAGAAATGATTCAGTTCTTCCTGGTGTTACTTTTCGGTATGATGTACATCCAGGAAAAATGAGAAGTCCAGAAGAACTGATTGGCTAGCCCAACATAACATATCTCTGAAACAAGAACACACAAATAGATATCTCTTAAAAATGTCTTTTGAGTTAGTGGCTAAGGGAAACCTAGGCAATATAATTTGCTGCAAGAGTCTATGAATTACTTTAATTGTTGTATGATTGTGATTGGCAACCCAAAGTTGCATTTCTCCCATTTCTTGTTCAGAGAATTTCCTGTAATTTCTTTGGTTGGGTGATAAGGAAGTATTACTTCCATAGAAACAGCACCACTACACCCTTGTTTTGTAAAGATATTTTGGGAAGGCTTCTGT